ATGACGCCCGAGATCGAAAATGGAGGATTCGCCGGTGAAGAAGCCCGGTTGTTCGCCAGACTGTCTGACCACTTCCACGCCGGAGGAGGTGAAGCCACCGTCGCTCAAACCGCTGCCGACGATCGCCGCCGGTCTACCCTCTCTCCTGCACACGCCGGCCGCCAGACGTATAGTACGTAGTACTGCTGTTCTGTGATGAACTTGTTTAAACATGTTGGGGCTGGGTTCATTTTCTAATGATTGACCGGACACTCAGTTAGATGGGGTGGACTGATTTAAAATAATTAATAGGGGGCTGCTTGTTGACTTACTAAAAGTCTAAAACAGGAAGGCCTAAATAGAGATTCAGAACAGATTAAGAAAATGAGATAAACTAAGGTGGGGTAATTAAGCTCAATATTATTAATTAAATTATTAATGCTAGAATTCTAATAGGTGATTCAAGAGATCGACATAGGTGCTTCAAGTAGGTTTGTCATCAATTGAGGTAAGTTTCTCTGCCGATCCAAAATGGTTTCCTCGTATTATATGTTATTATGTGATTAAATGTGAATTTTGAATTTGTATGTGATTTTGAGGAGATATTAGATCTATGGTATTTGAGAAGTGCAAACTAAGTACTTTTGGGTATTAAATATTTTTAAATACCTTTGAGACTATTTAGAGAGATTGAGAAATATTTTTGGAAGTATACTTAATTCAAGATAAAATTTACGTTTTCATAAGTGAGCACCCGGGAGAAATCCATGGTGTCGGTTTTCCACATCCGGATAAATGTGGAGGGTGATTAAGGCTACTACTACTAAGAAGTACAGTTTGAGTTTGAAGTGACGTTTGGATCTATGATCCCTTTTAAGAAGAAGTTATAGTAGTAGTCCCTAATCATTCAAGAATTTTAAAGGTGGGGTAGTTGGTAGACTGAGTCCCGATTACTCGTGACGACTTACTACTCGGAGGGCTTGGAATCCCTTTTAGGGGGTGTGCACACTTAAGGTAGTCGTTTCGTTTCCATTAGCAGTTGTGGTACCGGCAAAAATCCCGGGGTGGCCGTACATAACAACGTAACCACTGGGCTCAACCAGAGTACGTGTTGAGCACCGCCCTTCTAAATTACTAGGAAGATAGAGAAGAAGTGAATTTTGAGAAATTCTAAGAGAAGAGTTACTATAGAATTTTTTGAGGACTTTATTAAAGAAGTGATTTTGAGAAATATCAAAGAAGAAAAGAATTTTGGTGGAGTGTGTCATTTTTATATAGTATTATATGAAAAACTATTTTTCGCCAAACCTGATTATTTTACGGGGTTGGGTAGTACTTACTTAGCTCTAAAGCTAATTTTTGTTTCCTCTTCTTTGTTTTGTTTTCTGCACTTTATTTGTGCAGGTGATGATGAATATGTTGATTGTTGATTGCATGCGCCTGAGAGCGACGTAGAAGATGCCTTAGTCAAACCTAGTCATGAATAAACAATCCAATTATGTTGAACACTTTTTACTTTGTTTTGTGATTGCCTGTGCATTCGGTTAAGAGATGACCGGATGTGGCGGTAACACCCATTTCCCAATTAATGTTATTTCCGCTGCAAAACTTTTTATCTGTTTTGAAAGAATAAATCAAGTTTATTATCAATAAATCTATTATTTCAAGTATTATTTTGGGAGGGAAAATGGGGGTGTTACACCTTTATAAAGGGAAACCCCCCTTAAGGAGTTAAGCTTCCTAAAGGGAAAGGCTCTCTCACGCGCGTAGGGGGGGTGCGAATCAAATCCCGAAACCGAAGAACAAAAAGCGCGACTTGCGTGTGCGGGCGACCTGCACACACGAATGCCGTCCGAAAATTTATCTTCTAAAGATAACGTTAATTTTTGTTCTTCCGGTACGTTCCTATTTTATTTTTGCTCCATGCTGAACTGGAACGTTGCAGCATAACTGCCCAACGTCTTTGTACCTTAATGCAGCGGGTTTGGACAGCTTGCTTGGAGAATCAATGCCAGCATGCTGCCATTGAAGTCCCAACGTTCATATGAACGTTTTGGGCTGTTTATTGGCTGGAATCAATGCCCAACGTTTAGGACATTGATGTCCAACGTTCACAAGCCTTGAACAGCCATTAACACACCATAATCCACCCCTATAAAAGGCTAGTAGGTGCTTTGGTAACAACACACGTTCATACACTTCGTACACATACTTTCAGAGCTAAAAAAACACCTCTAGCATTCCATAAAAACTCTTCTGTGTTCTGAGCATTGTTCTTGTTCATTGGAACCATAGTTTGAGTGCTAAACTATCGTTCGAAGTCATCGTATCCTGGGAAACGATCGTTGCAACGCTCCTAGCACCCCGGGAGGCAACGAATACGTTTTAAGGAAATCGTGCGCAGCACGAGCTTTGGCTTATTCTGCTTCATCTCATTTCTTGTTTTCTTTAAGTCATTTTATTTAACTAATTTTTATTAGTTAATTTTCTTTGTTTTTCGAAACACACCCAACATGCGCCATCGTGATTTCCTTCGTATTCAGTATTATGGCGGTTCCATTTAAAAAACTGCCAAATTACTTCTTTATCCTTAATTACTAAAACGGGTTTCAAATTTCCCGTTCGCCTCCTGCGCACCTCATTGCGTCTAACGGTGAGGAACGTGTTTTGGGCCATTGATTTGGCTGAATTGGACGCACGAAATTGATTTGTATTTTGTATGGGGAGATGTGTTTGTACGGGACTACAAACACATCTCCCAACCCAATTGTGTTTGTATTTTGAATTGTGTTTTAGCCCAACCCAATTTACATGTTTTAATCAGGTGAGCTATTTGGCTAATCTAATTAGAAAAGCTTTTTATAGTGACTAGATTTGGGATGTACGATAGTATTTAAGTTGGGTCAGGTCTAGCCATACATAAGCCTATATGCTCGAACATATGTAGTAAAATATGTAGAAATTGGTCAAGATAATATGAGGACTAGTTTAATTAATAGTTTTCCTTCATATTGATATGTTATTATTGACTCTATTAGAGGTATTGAGATGACTCATTATCTTGGTAGTCTTTTTTAGTTGTTTAGGCAATTAGGCCGCCACACACACTCTAATAGCGCATGCTGCAGGTTATTGCGTGCGCACGTACCGGCATGGCCGGTCGATTATACATTTATACTACTCCCTCCCTCCCATTTAAAGGTTCATGTATACTATTCTCTGGTCAACGTGCATTGTTCTTGATCTTTTACTTTTTATATCGAAAGTTTATGAAATTTAAATTATTTTTTGCAGGTTTTGTAGCGGGTTTAATGTAGTTTCTGAATATGTAAATTTTATTTACTAAAAATAATTCTGTTAATGACAGGGATCAGTTAACTTTATGGTCAGTCAAACATCGTAAATCGTGTGGGAACCTTAAAGTGGGACGGAGGGAGTAGTATACTTCATATATCGTACTCCGCCCCGGCAAGGTACGGTGTGTGTCATGTTTAATTTTTAGGAAAAATTCCCAAGATATGAGTAAAACATATTGAGTTTCTCAAAATATGAGTAGCTATGTTTTTTTCCCGGAATATGACTAAAAATCGAAAAAAAAATCGTCATATTATAATGTGGAAGGACGAAAATGCCCTTATTTTGCATTTTGCACTAATTTCAGCCGTGTAAATATATTGCACTTTATGAACGCGTTATAGCACAACATTTATAGCACTTTATGACGGTATTCACTGCACAACATATCATGCACTTCATGCACTTAAGTTATGGTACTTCAGTTTGTCCTTTTTTAGTTTTGATAATTATAGTTTTTACGTTTAATTAAATCCAATGCACGTACTCCATGCGAGAGTTATGACAAAACATTACAAAAATGTTAGCATTTTATAATTTTTTAGATTTGATAACTGCAGTTTATATCAATGTTAATGCTCTACATTATTGCACTTTTTGTCAAAATAACTTTATATATGGTCCTATCATTGCACTTCTTTTTCATAATCATTGCACTTTTTGTGATATTCATGGCATTACATAAAAAATATTCATTGCACACTATCCTCAATCGTCTTCAACCTAGGGTTCTTCTTCAATCTTGGGTTCGTCTTCAACCTCGACCGTCTTGCTGAAGAATCTGAGTTGTTGGAGCGGCGGTCCGGCCATCACCATTCTTTGGCAACATTAATTATTACCCTAATTTCATTAAATAGAAGAAGAACCCAACAAACCGTAATCTCAAGCGGCAAGAGATCAAGCACGCTGGTTGACGGAGGCACGAGGCAACTGTGCGGCGGGGCGGCGGCGGCCAGGGCAAGGTCGGTGGTGGCGGCGAGTGCGGGCTGGATGTACGAAGGAGGAGAACACGCGACTATGCAGTTAGAAGGAGGTGATGAGCAGGCGGACGTACGGCAAGGCATCAGCTGGGCGGTGGCGGGGCGACAGAGGTAGGTGACGGCTAGGTGGAGGCTGGGCGGCGGCGGGGCAGCAGCGGAAGGTGGGTGTGCGTGAGTAGTGGGAAGCTAGAGGCTAGGGTTGGAGAAAAAGAGTAAAAGGTTAGGGTTTTATAGACTTAACCTAAGGGGTATATTAGTCCATAAAAATTAATTATTTAATTATTAATTACGAAATTAATTAAATATAATTGATTTAAATATTATTTTGGGAAAAAAATTAGTTAGGTCACAGATTGGAAAAGTGGGGAAGTTTTACTCATAATATACACGGGATAATTATTTCTAATTTTTATTTAGATTGTTTTTAGTCCAAGCAGACTATACTAGACTTGGACACTTATATAATACACGGGGACTAGACATTCATGTGACTAAATTAGCAATTAAAATCAGAAAATTTCAATCCAACTACAAATTAAACATGTTATTATATGTATATATATTATATTATATCACTAGCTAGCTTAGGTCGATCGATCATAAGCTAGCTAGCTAGCAGAGCTAATAATATATTACTACATACATACGGAGTATATATATATATATATATATATAGTAGCTAGCTACGTGCGTGCAGTGCGTAGGTATTAAGATAGGTAGGTAGGGCGGGCATATCATGGATGATGAAGATGGTGCGGAGAGGCGGAAGAGTGCGGCGGGGAAGCGGAGGGCAGCAGCGGAGGGGATGCAAGCTCCCTGCGGCGCGTGCAAGTTCCTGAGGAGGAAGTGCGTGAGCGGATGCATATTCGCCCCGCACTTTGCCTCCGATCAGGGCGCTGCCCGCTTTGCCGCCGTTCACAAGGTCTTCGGCGCCAGCAACGTCTCCAAGCTCCTCCTTCACATCCCGCCCAACCGCCGCCACGACGCCGTTGTCACCATATCTTACGAGGCCCAGGCCAGGCTCTCCGACCCCGTTTACGGTTGCGTCTCCACCATTCTTGCTTTGCAGCACCAGGTACGTACGTACGTACGTACGAGTATAATATATATATATATATATATATAACCCATATCATGCACCCGCCCGCCCAACTATATATATATATATATATATATGCATCTAGTGCGTACGCATTATTTAATGGGATTCCATTGCTATCTAATGTCTTTCAAATTATCTACCAACCACGGACTGATGCATGTAGTCATTGGGGGTCAAGAAGAAACACAAACAATAAATATAAAATTCTTTAAATAGGAATAAAATCCATTATCATTGTTTTATTCTCAAAATTAGGACTTATTCACGCTTATCTTGGTAAATTTTAATCAAATTATTTTTAATAGAACTACATAGGATCTATTTGAGGAGCAAAACATATTTTAATACAAAGTATATATATGTTTATTCATATATATGATCTTATTTAATGAGAAATCACCCTCTCCAAACTACCCCTCAGGATCCACCTTCCGGATGCCTGTGTTTGAGGTGCTTCCGAGTGAATTTTTTGATAAGATTTTGTGACAATGTTCTTCATGATGTGTAAACTATTCACACGAAAGGTTATAACCTATTATTTAAATAAATTCGTGACAATGTTCTTCATAAGTTGAATTTTTAATTTTTACCTATTATTGGTCACATTGTGGGTGATATTTGCTAGAAGGAAAGTTCCAAAAAGAAGAGGTTATATGCAGTGGCGTATCCAGGATTTCTTATGAATGGGGACGAGTTAATACTACTTTCTCCGTCCCACTGAATTCTTCTCACTAATCTTTGAGATGTCCCAAAAAAAATTAATTTCCCTTTTTGAAAAATATTGTATGACTAACATTCGTTTACCTACGCAATCACAATCATGCATTTGCTTATTTTATGCTTTTTCACTTGCATATATTATTTCAAGCATGTCACAAGCAGATTAACAATTTAACAAAAACAGTACAAAATTCATTATAAATGAAAAATACTCGGTCAGCTAAAAAATATGAAATCATGCTTAGTAAATTTGACAATTTTTTTTAATGTTACATTAAAAATCAATAATTTCAATAAGGGACACTTAGTGTATGTAAGAAAATGTAAATTATGAATACAGAATTATATCTAAATATGAATTTATGTTAAGTGTAAATTGTAATTAAGTATATTTTAACTCTAAAAATGTAATGAAGTATAGACTAAAACTAAAAATGTATGCATATATTAAGTCACTTTAAATGTGATTAATACTTAAAAAAGGAAATAAGGAAGATAACAGAAGAAAATATTAAAGTTCGGAACAAAAACTGGAGGGTGGACTCTAACCTAAACCTAACAGAGGCACTGAATACGCACGCAGCTCCTTATCCACTGCGCTAAACCACTCTTTAGTTACATTATTCGGAATTCTAGTATATATTATGTATATTCAGAATAAAAGTATATGTCCAATTGAATTTTTAAATATATATACGTATATAGGGGTTGGGTGGGGGTTGAGTGGGGGCAGCTGCCCCCTGCCCCCACCCTGGATACGCCACTGGTTATATGCGGCTCATTTGACATTGATTGAAAACCTAAGAGCAGCTCCCATGAAAATATGAAATGATTTGCACACGAAGAAGATATATAAAATTAAATCAACAAATTTATCAATCTACGCGGACGATCTTTCTTTCTACGATCTTCTACTTCGTATATCTTTGATTACTTTTTATTAATAATGTGTATATTTAGACATTGTGATTATATTGACATCATGAAGAAAAATTATCCACATTGAAAAAATTGTTGGGACAAAGAAAAGTATATTCTATTACTGAGTATTTAATTTTTAGTATTCTTCTACTCTATATATCATTCTTATTATTACATCGAAAAGAAATTTTTCTAAAATATTACTAATAAAAATGTTATATGGTGACTTTTAACGACTATAGTGGTGTTCAAAGTTTATATCATGATAACTTTAAACACAATTATAATCACTAAAAGTTATTAGGCCACATTTCTGTCCAATATTTTTCTAAAAGTAATATTAGTGAAATTTCTTCTTAGATTATATGTGTTGTCGTGTAATAAACGACAATATTTGAAAATGTTTACCATAGCTATTCGTTAGAATGTTTTTGTTTTCTAATGAGAGATCTGTATTTATTCCCTCTGTCTCTCCAAACGACAATAAATCTAACTTTTGGTTCTTAAAGTTAGATTATATATCCTCTCAAAAAAAAGTTAGATTATGGGGTGTTTGGAACTGATTCTGCTTCTGCTTCTTTTTTAAAAGCAGAAGCAGATTCAGAATCAGTTTTCAAAAGCTGGTACCTCCCAGCTTCTAAAAAAACTGATTCTAAGAGTAAATTAGAGCTCCAGAAGTGCTTCTAGAATTTCACCCAAACACTCCAGCTTCTGCTTCTGCTTCCTGAAGGAACAGAATCAGTTTTGAGAATCAGATCCAAACACCCCTATATATACTACGTACGGATCGGAGTACTATTCTCTTCTTTGAAAAGGCACTAATGTACTTTTTTCGTTTTTCTTATATATATGGGTACAGTGACATTCGCCTTTAATTTAATTATCGTAATTCAATATTAAAGGTTTCCCATTTTAGTTGATGACTTTTGAAGTCAATAATGTTAAACTTTGATCGTTTATACATTGAAATATTGAATTATGAAAGTGATACCGAGTATGAAAATGTTATTTGTCTAAGATACTATCATAAAGTTATAAAAAGATTAAAATTCGCATTAATGTACTTTGTTAAAATAATTGATAAAAGTTTATCACCGAAATGTAAAAAATGGATAATAACTATAGTAGTATCACATAGATTAATTAGCATGTAGGTTATCGCATTGTTTGCATGCCATGCATAAAGCAAGTTCTTAGAAAGATATGAAGTAAAGACCTAACTAAGCTTTGTGAGACTATATTATTATTACTGGAAAGAAAAGTAGGCTAGGCTAGTACGGCATGCAGATAACGTGGCAATCTGCGTGAAAAGAGCTAGGCATGCAAATCTATCGACATGGTGAAAGCAAAATATCCATGGTTACCAAATCAATACAAATTGGACGGTGATCAGATCAACCACACCTTCTGCATTGATTTGCAAATGTTAAACTAAAAAAGTCGCCATATGCAGACGATTACGGAAACAAAAGAACTTCAAAGCTTGTGCATGCGTTAGTAATTATCAGGCTAGATACGTCCGTATCACCCCTACGGCTCCAATCCGGCCATTTCCCACTTCTCAATATGCTAGCAACCACCAATAAAAGATATGTTGACTTTTACCGTTACCCGGTTACAATAACTAGTTACAGTTACCTTACCCAATTAATTAGTTACAGTTACTAGCTCGACCAATTACAGTTACTTGTCTGACCAGTTACAATTATATGACCCGATCAGTTACAGCTATCTGACCCGACTAGTTACAATTAATCGACCAAATCAATTACAGTTACTCAAACCTACCAATTATAGTTACTCAGATCGACCAGTTACAGTTACCTGGACCGACCCGTTACTGTTACTCGGATTAACCATTCACAGTTACCCAATCCGATAGTGACCATGGGTAGCCACCACCGCCGGCCACCACGACAGTTGCCGCCCGATAGTGACCCTTCCCTAGCCCACAACCTACCCTCCCCAACACTCCACCCTAACCCCCAACTCCCCGCTTCCCTAGCCCCATCCCCCCCTCTATATAGTGGTCCAGCCTTCTGGTCGCCGCCGTCTCGGCGGTGACTACCGCCTCCCTAGCCCCTTGTAGTAGACCATCCCTCTCCTTAGCCTTAGCCCTCTCTCTAGCATCCCCAATCATCTCACCCAACCCCACAACCATAGCCGACGCCCAAACCAATCGCATTGCCGCCCAATTCAATCGCATCGCCACCCAATCAACCGCACCATCAGAATCTGAAACCACACATTGACGTGAAACCCTGGCCTGAAGCAATGAGGCAGCACACGAACAGAAAAAGAAGAAGAAACTGAGACAGGGACATCAGGCTCAATAGAGCATGTGTCGACGATTGACAGAGGTCGAACAGCTACCGCCACCGCAGTGCAGAAATTCAAGAAGAAGGATTTGTTGTGGAGGCGGAGGTTGGAGGCGGAGGTGATGATGTGCGCCTGGGGCGAAGGATTTGTTGTGCCTTGTGCGGTTCCCTAGATGTAGCAGATGGAGAGACAATGACGAAGCAGCAAGCAACGCAAGAAGAGTTAAGCAGATGTAGAAAGAAGCGAAGCAGCACAAGGTAATTTAGTCACTCGTTCATATTGAGTCACTTTATTGTCCATATTGATAATAGGTCTTATTTTTGTCCATTAGAAAGTCATAGGTATTTTTCTTGTCATTATTTCAAGTAACAATGCTAAGCATAATTTGGTTTTGATGCAAAATCCTACGGATACAAGTGATTGTGAAGATTATATCCCAACGATTGATATGATGTAATGGAGGTTGATTGCTTGAAAAACTTGAAGGTTCAAAATTTGAGTGTTGGTGAAGGTGATTCCCCTATCCCTACAAACATGAAGGTAGTGATAAATCACTTCGATAAAAGCCTTAACGCTGAAAGTTATTAAACAACCTATGAGAATAATGGGAAATCATTTCACCCTTATGGTTACAGGTTAAGAAGCCAACGGTGTGTGAGGTCTGGACAATGTTGAGGGTCCCATTATTGGCCAAGGGAGGGTTCCAGGAGACCACTTTGAGTCTGTTTCTTAAGATCTGGTTAGGACTCTTGGTATCATAGGGGGGGAACAAATGTCCCTTTTGATGTTGTAGATGGCATCGGAGTAATTAGGTGTAGTGTCTTCATAAAGAGTGGTGTTTCTCAGTTTCCAAAGGTTCCAAAGAATAGAAAATAGCATAAAAAAGAGTTGTGCTCGGTCCAACTAATAATTGTTATCCTTCATATTGTCTTCCAACCAGATGTGAGAATAATGTGAGAGTAATGAACAATAGATCATTCTCGAGAGAACATGGAGACCAATGTGAGAGTAAT